CTTCCATAATAGCCCCAAGATGATTGCTGCCAATGCCTGTAACAAGTGCAGGCCATAATGTCCAAAGCAAGGAAAGGCTTTCCTCTTAGTCCCTTTGTCAGTGAGGGGTTTTTGTTTTGTTTTGTTTTGTTTGAAGCCTCCAGCAGACTTTCCACATTTCTTATTAATTACTTGCAGCGGGAATGGAAGTGCTAGGCTTGCTTAGCCCAGTCACAGTTTATCTCTTATTGATTGAAAAGGGCTTGAAGAGCTTTCCTTTAAGGCATGTGGCGACTAGATATCTAAACAAAACTGCCATTTGGTCTGGGACCTGAGGACTTAAGTACTTAGAGAAGCTTCTTTGGAGCTCACACTCCTTTAGCTAGAATTTATAGCTGTTAAAGAAAAAATTATTCTGACACTTGTTAAAATGGTAAGGAAGACTTTATTCAATATCATTGCAATAGGAACCAACTCTATGGTAATTGAGGAGAGATCACTCAACTCTGAATGTAATAAAGACAGATGGGGTTTTATAGCAAACCAGCAGGATTCAGGGGGTTGGTGGATAGCAAATTACTAAGAGGAGACATCAAGCATAGGGGATTCTTGTTAAACCGACCTAACAGGGTTCTTGCTAAAGAAAGACCAAGGACTTAGACATCAAAAGTAGGATATGAGAACTTGATTAGATATCAAGGATTGATCAGGTAACAAGGTTGGAGGCGTTCTGGATAACCGACTTAGTAGAATTCTTGCTAGGACCGGACTATGCAGGCCTGGCAAGGACAGCACAGACTCAGAAGGCCAAGGTTAAGGCCTAGACAAGAAGAGGGCTCAGAGAGGCCTAACTAAAGTTTGGTCAAGGAGAGAGTCTTTGTCATAATTCAGGTTTGATGGCTTTTTTTTTTCATTTTTTTCTTTTCTCCTTATTATTTGATTAAAAGCTGATGATTTAAAATCAAGTAACTTTCAACAAGTCTTTAATTCAGTATAGGTTTTTCTTTAACAACTTTTACTTCAAAAAGTATGATGTGCACCTATTCACTAACAAAAATTTAAGAAACATTTAACAACATACTCTCTACATTTCTGCATTTTTTAAATGAGATTTAGTAGCTGTATTAATTATTTAAATTAGAACTTTGACTAGCAGACACATTACTAACAGGCCAATTTTAGTAAAATAAAATAGAATTGTGAATACATGCAATTTCTGCAACTTCTACAAAACCTGAACCAGCATAACCTGATCATTAATAAGACCTGCCATTCCATATAATATGCATTTAAGACAGTTTGAAGGCAAATTTCTGCTCAGATAACTTAAAATATGACAATGCAGTGACAGTTTTAATTAGGATAAAATCAGAATAGCTAAAATGCATGTATAGTATGTTTTAGAATGCAAATCTATGCAATCCCCAACCTAAGAACATAAGAGAAATCTAAAATATATTTGTTACATAGTCAATTTGGTTCTCCAAACACATTTTCTCCTAGGAAGCAATATCACAATGATGGTTAAAGTACTAGATTAGTCCCAAGAGACTGTTTAGCACATTTTATAATCAAACTTTTTAATATTAATGGTAATCATAAGCCATTTTGAACCAATGATTGGAAGGAGTCAGGAGCAGGGGCCTTGAGCTTCGGCATCAGCATTTTCTGGTTGTAATGAGGAGGGAGCAATATCAGTGGAGGGGATTCTGGTAGAAATAAATGGCTTGCTTATGAAGAGGTGGGAGTGCCTCTGAGACTGAGGGTACAGTGATTATATAGTCTGCAATGGATGGTAAATGAGTGTACCTTAAAAATACTCTAACTTGACATATACTTTTTGAAAGACTTATCACAGTAAATATAGCTCTTTAGGCAAACATGCAGTTTATTAAAGTGGTTCAGTTCCCATGGCAACATATCTGGAATTTATAGCTCCTTATTTTAAGAGGGCTTCATTTCCACTTTCTGAGACACTGCAATCCAAGGCTAAAGTTCTTAACTTGCTCCAGTCTCATTGTTTGATGAATTTCTATTGTTTAGAAAATTCAGACATACAAAATGTAGCTTGCTGAATCGGTCTTGTGACTTTATAGTCACGTGCATGAATTTTAAAAAGGTAATTTTAAATTTTTAAATGCCCCTATTTAAAATTTTTTATTATTACCAAAACTACATATGGTCACAGTTTAATGAAGAGAAATAGCCATTTCAAAAAATAACAGTCCCCTAAAGGTACTCCCCAGAAGCAACCACTTTATTCTCTCAGTATTTACCTCAAATCCCTCAGCAATGTGTTTATCTTACTTCTTGGTTTGTATTATTGCTTACTTTGTAATTTTAGCTGTCATCAGTTGGCTTTCCAATATGGAAATAAAATTTTAGCTCTTTCACCCTTCTGCCTCAAACTCACACCCAGGTCTTTCCCATATTCCCATTCTCCTAACAAGGTGACAGGTGGATAGGCAGGAAGGCAGGCAGGCAGGCAGATAGACTGATGGATGATGGATGGATGGATGGATGGATGGATGGATGGATGGATGGATGAATGGATCAATTGATAGAGAGTTTACTTTTACTAATTTTAGAGTAATTTATACCCATTTAGGCTTGATCAGTATTCACCATAGATATTCTTAGAACCATGTTTATAATATTTACAAATAGGTGAACTGTGTAATATAGTATGGATATGTTTTCTTCTATAAATTATTTTCAATTATTCATCTTCAACTTTCCCCTAGTTATTTAATCTCTTCTTAATATCTTTAAACATTAACATTGTATTAATTGTGTCTTCTAAAAGAAATTTCCCCTGTAGTTTTGATCAGCTCCAGCCAGGACTATTGCTTTTCAGTCTGCTGTAGAGCTCTCATCCTGGGCATTTTCTTTATTTCTTCCTTGTGTTGAATTACCTCTCTATTTGATATTATTTTCTTGATTTGTTTACTCCCTCATTTTGCTGTACCATATTCTTCAGTAGTCTTCAGAAAGGGTATTATTTGAATCCCTCCATACTTGTAAATGCCTTTATTCTACTTTTATTTCTGACTTTATTTTTCCTAGAATTTTTAGTGTTGATACTGAGTTATCCAATGCAAGTCAAAATTTTTATTCTGTTTTAATCCTATGAAATCTTTTCTTTCCCTTCCTGGGAGCTCGTAGAATCAATTTTTCGTCTGCAGTGTTCTAAAGATTCGTGGTGATGGACCTTGCTCTGGGTTCATTTTCTTCCACTGTGAAAGATCTTCAGTGGGTCTCTTCCATATTCCATTTTGGAAACTTATATCTTTAAGTTCTGTAAAGCAGCCTTTATTTCTTCGATTATATCCTTTTCTCTGTTTTCTCTTTATTGTTTTCTAGAACTTTTATTATTCATATATTGCCCTCATGGCCTGGTCTTCAAATTTTCATATATTTTAACTGTTTTTTTTAAATGATTTGCCATCTACTTTTGGGAAGACTTTCTCAGCTTAATAACTAGTGAATTTTTTTATTTCTGCTATTATCTTTTTAATTTTCAAGAGTACTTCTCTTCCTCCCCACCTATTCCTTTTTTGTAGCATACTATTCTTGTTTTATAAATGTTAATCTCTTCTAGTTTTCTTCTCTCTGTACAGTTGATCTGTTCATATAGGTTGCTTTCTACAAACACCTGGTGATCCTTGGTTGTTTGCTTATATTTATAAGTAAGACACTAAATGATGAGTAGAAACTCTGTTCATGATTATGGCTTGTAAACTGTGGCCTTCAATAAAGGGTGATCTGACCAGGATGTCTTGCTGAGGAGCCCCCAATATTAGTATCTTTAGTCTTTTCTCTTTGGGTGGTCAGATTCCCCTGCCTAGAGGGTATAAGCCCTTTTGTCTGTTTTGGGCCTGTGAAGGTAAGAAGGTTGAGGAAGAAGGGCAGATCTCAACATTTATTATATAACTTTCATTTAATCTCCATGATTTTAAGCATAGTATACCATCACCGTGGGATTCCTCCATCCAGTTACTCTCTTTCATGCTCTGTAGAAAATCTCTAGTTTTCTGCTAGGTTGGGTTGGGAAGTCACCTATTGTGTGGGATGGGATATAAATCAATGTTGCACATATCAACTACTTAAACATTCTTTCATCCAATTTTCCCGTGCTAGCCACACCTCCATACTCACTTCCAGAGGTGCCGTTTCCTGAGCTTTTTTAGATTACTACATTGTAAACCAGGCACTTCTCAATTTTTCATACTCCAGTTTAGAAACTATTGGGTTGGCGAATCAGTTAGCAGGCATCTGTCTACTTTTTAGCTCCTAAAGTTTCGTTGCTATTGATCCTTCTCCAGTGTTCTTTCTCTCTATACACTTTGCTATCATTTAAACCTAGCTCTGAGAAAAAGTAGAGGTTAAATGTGTGACCTTTTCTATCCTGGAGACAAACTAAATCCCCTCGTTTTCCAATTCTCTTAGCCTGTTTACTCCTTAAAATCTCCTGTTTGTAAATCTACTTAAAGTTTTTTAGTTTAAAAGATGAATAAACCAACTTATTTTTACTCTTAAGCTTTAGTCCTGGCTTTTATTCTTTTTTTAGTCTTCCCTTTTTAAAAAATGATATTCATCTGATTTTTTTTTTTTTTTTGCCTTCTATTTTCTCTTTAAGTCTATTCCACTTAGTCTTCTATATACTCTTTTTTGAAAATTACCTTATAAACAAAACCACCAACCTGTTCTGGGCCTTAGTCTACTTGATTACTGATTTTCCATTGAAACTCTTCTCTTGTCTTGTTTGTTTTTTCCTTCTAATTCTTGTCTTGTTCTTGTTTTACTTTTCAGGTTGTTTTTTCCTGTTTTAGCCCTCTTCTTCCACATACCCTTATATGTGCGCTTCTACTTTCTTTTAGGCTACTTAGAAAACAAAGCAGTTAAAAGTTCATAGAAACTTACTGATTTTCGAGATTTTTTTTTCATTTATTAAAAGAAAACGGAATGATTTTTAGTAAATATTTTTATGACATTAATAAGGTTTAACTTTTAATATTTAGGCAGGTGCTGTAAAGGATTATATTAAGATGATGCTTCACAACGATTCACTTAAATTTCTGGTTTTTGCTCACCATTTAAACATGCTCCAAGCTTGCACAGAAGCAGTCATAGAAAACAAGGTATGTTACCATCTTTCTACGTAGTACTTTTAGGTTGCAGATTTTTAATATAGTAAACATTGTCTTATAATTTAGTTTTTTTGCTTGCTTTACATGATGGTATATACATTATTATTAGCCATTTTTCTTGCAAATTATAGCAATATATTACTAATGTGTTGATATTTTATTAAATTTTGTCTTTTACACCAGTCTTATAATTTTCCACTGATCAAATAAATGATCTGGATTGATTAAAACATATGCTACCTTGATATGCTATAATGTGAATTTCATTTTTGTTACTAGATGTACCATTTGAGACTGACATAGGCAGTTAAAAGTTAAAATTTTTGATTATCCACATGTAGCCTTAGAATTTGGGTGATGTTGAGGGAAAAGGAAGAATGAATTAAGCCAATTTTTGTGCCTGACTACAGTCATACCTTTTAAACTCCAGGCAGCATATTCTATATAGAATATGATTAAGATTTTGTATAGGTAAATTTATAACAGATGATCTAGGTAGTCAGTCAGGTAAGCTCCACCAGACCTGCTGGCCTTACTGCATTATGTTATGTCCACCTTGCTCCCCAACAGCCCCGTCAGTGACAGCATCATCCACTTTTTTCTTTTTAAAATTTAAACCTGTCACCTCTCTTTATGTTAGAGGGCTTCTAGAGGTGCTCAGAAGCAGGCAGAAGAAATTTCCTGACAAATTTCCTGACAAATTATGTGAGCTTAATATATGTGTAGCCACTTGCCTATGTAGGTAGATTTTTTTTTTTTAATGGAGGAATAAAGACATTTTTTAACACTTTGTACAGTATAGATTTTTCAAACACTAGCCAATAAGTTCATTAACATTACTAGAGAAGTAATTCTAATATTTCCTTCATTGAAATATTTATGATAATATAATATGATAAAGTGCTATACATTCAAAGGTCCTTTCTCATTGATTATCTTATAGTGTCTACAAAACACCTCCTAAGGAAAGAGTTAATTTACCTTAGAAATAATTTTTAAATGATCCGGCAACAATATTAGATTCATAATATTTTTTTATTCTGATTCCATTTTACTTAAAGCTACTGGAATCTATTCCAAGTATAACAGTCTATCCCCTTTTCCTACTTCTGCTTTATTATGTATTTAGAATCCCACTTAGCATCACTAAGAGTTAAAAACATAGGTAGTCACGGTGTTGGGAGTGAATTTCTCTCAAACTCTCCCTAGCCTGACAATGTGTTTTCCTTAGAAAGACCCTCAGAAGATTTTATAAACTTCCTTAATTGATATTAAATGAGTCACTGGTCAATTTATATCTGTATTGTGAAGACATAGAAAGTTAATAAGGGACATTCTATTTAATGATTAACTTGATTTTCTTCTTATATAAGTATATATTCTCTATGTCTCAACTACTTAAGACTGTGTTTTCCATAAAACTGCAAATATGAATGAGATTATTTGAAATTCAGGGCTTATACTTGTTTTATAAAGTTGAGTAATAAGTTCTTTTTAGCTACTCTAACACACACACTGATTGTTCCCATTTCTCAATTCAAATCATTCTTAAAAGACAGCACTGTTCAGTTTAGCACTTAATATTTCTCTGCTTTTTAAAACTGTAGGTGGGTGTGTTGGTCTCCACCTCAACGGAGATGACCATGACACGTTTTTCTTTTAAGTTTAATAATTTGAAAAAAGAGAATTCAAATGGTACATTTAAAAATATATTTTCCCACTTAATATTAGGATATTTCATAAATAGACATACTACTCTTCATGAATTCCTAATACATGGGCAGAATCCTCTTTTTACTTTCTCACACGTCTGACTTTACTTTTACTTTGGAATTAGTGATCCTGTAACTTGAAAATTATTCTGATCCATCATGAAATTTTCACACCAGTTTATATAGAATTTTACTGAAGACTACATTTGCTTAATTCAGTAATGATTTATGAAACTTCTGGTATATACAAGGCATTGCGCTTGGCAGTGATGCTGTGAAGATGAATTAGACATAGATCCTACCCTTAAAAGACTAAAAAATGAAATTGTTATCAGAAACTAGTAAGAAATTTGATTAATATTCTTCTTGTATAACATTTACCAACCTGTCATCTTACGCAGTTTTTATTTTATTATGAGAACATAAAAATAAGCTGTAACAATATAAAATGAGATGGGTGCATGGAGGCTTGTCCTAATTTTTGCCATGTCCTTTGTTAATCCTAGACTCGTTATGTTAGGATAGATGGAAGTGTTCCATCTTCAGAAAGAATATATCTGGTTAATCAGTTTCAAAAGGATCCTGAGACTCGTGTGGCTATCCTAAGCATTCAGGCTGCTGGGCAGGTAAGAAATTTTGAGTCTTAATTTGATAATGAAACATCTTTGAGATCATAAACAGGCCATTAACCATAACTATAACTTTATATCTGATATCTGGTATAATAAATATTCATTTAATTTTGGAGAGTGTTAGAAAGTATAATGGAAAAAGACCTCAACACCTCTGACTCAAATCTTCCTAAATTTTCAAGGAAAGAATTTCCTAGAAGAGTATAGTTCATTCGTTTGTAATACTTTTTCATAACCATTTTTGCTTCCTTTGAATTTGCATAGAATTTTCCCATCCCTTTCTTATAGCACTTACCTTTTCTTGGTTGTTTTCAGCAGAGTCTATGAGGCAAGGTGGCCTAAGGCGTAAGAATTCTTCTGCCTGAGAACTTTTTGTGGAGTGGCCCTGGTTTGCCTTAGAATTACATTTGGCTGCAAGTAAATGAAAACCCAAATTAAGACTGACTTAAATACATAAAGTTTTTTTATTCACTCATGTAGACAGTCTAAGGCTAGCATGGTGATTCCACAAAGTCCTCAGGACTTAGGCCCCCTTTGGCTTTCCGCTTCATCACTCCCAGCAGATATCTTACTTCAGAGGGCTGCTAGAGCTCCTCCGTCATATCTGCAAACCAGGCAGCTGACTGGAGGGAAGCATGCTACATCTCACTGGCCTGCAGTTAGTCCCATGGTCACAGCTAACTTTAAGGGAAGCTGAGAAAAGTACCCTTTATTCTAGGTAGTCATGCTAAATATCAGGTGTTACATTACAAAAGAGCAAGAAAAGAATAGATATTAGGGAAGGCAATACCAGTCTCTGTCATACTATGTATGAGGGAAACCTACTGGATTTTTTTCTACTAACATTCTAAAATATTTTTGTATAAATGTCTAAGCCAGGATGTTTAACATAGAGAAAAGTAATCGAGCATATCACTCTGCGTCCAGCCTGGTGGTATATGCCACATCTGGCATCTTCTGTGGACTCTGGATTCTGAACCAGGGCCAAAGATCTGCTTTTACTCAGCTAATTGATGTGTGTATATAAAATTGTATATAGAGAGAAACTCCATGAGGATGAAGAAGTTCTAGAACTCACTAGGAATTCTAATCAAAAGGATTGTCTCAACAGTTCCCTCATGTTGGATTAAACTTTCAATAATCTGAGTTTTATATATCTGTTAGAATATTCCAGACAAAGAAATTATCATCAAAAAGAGCTTAAAATTAGAAATAGAATGCTCAGCACGAGAGAAGGAAGATAAGAGGAAGCCAGGCAGGAGATTTTAGCAGTGGCCTGATAAGAGACTGAAATTCAGATTGCACAGGGCACTCACATGTTATTCAAGTCTGTATTCCTGAAGACCTTGTAAAATTCAAAACTCACACACTTGAACACTAGTATCTTCACGGCAATAAAGGAAAGTAGAAAGGACTTTGTTCCTGGAGCATGTGAATCTTCTATCACAGTAGTAACTTAGAGTACCATTTATCTTGCCAGCATATTTTCTCTTTATTCTTATATAGTCATATGATGCTTTTTACACGCTTAAAGGTATTCCTCTTTAAACAGGACTTCTTATTTTTCAGCATTATCTTTAGTATTTTGTGGCATTTCCTGTCCTAAATAGCAGCACAGTTTAGATGGTGGTTGTTCGACTCTCTCCATCTTTTTATTACTTCTAACTTCTGTTCTAAAGTGATTGATCTTCAGTGAATTTTTCAGCTTGAGGACTAGTGCCACTGTTTAATGAATGCGAGTATGATGCTGTTTTGTGATATAAAAATATATTAAGTTAAAATAACCTATCAAAATAACAGCACAGCAGTCACAAAAGTCACTCATTCACAGAAGTTCCAGTGTGTGTGAACAACAGCATGGATTAGATGATATTCCCAAAGGATGCTAGGTATTTCTGTCAACCATCTAACCTCATTTACTCTGTGTGGCAATAGCGTAAACATGGTTCACATTTCACTCAGCCTACCAACTTTAAAACCATGCATTTTTCAGAGACTCATGGACATGGACAATAGACTAGTGGTTAGTAGACGGGAGGATGGATGAGGAACGGGGGTGGTAGACAGGGTAAAGGTGGTCAAATATGTGGTGACAGAAAGAAATCTAACTATGGGAGGCGAACACACAGTGTAACTATATACATGCCTTACTGTTAAAATGTACAACTGAAACTTATTGGATTTCATTAACCAATGTCACCATAAAAATAAATAAATGAATATGTACATGCATACATACATACATAAATTTTAAAAAATAAAATAAAATCATGCATTTTAGACTCATTTTTAGCTTGAGGGGATTTGCATTTTTATTTTATAGATTGATTATAAAACAAGAGTTAGTTAATGTCTTTAATGTCACATTATTTCAAACTGATGTAAAATACAATTGCACGAAAAATGCAATTGTATTTTATGTATTGAGATACGAGCAAGTAAACTCAGGGCCTTTGGAATGTAACATAAGAAATTTCAGAGGAAGAGATCATGACTGGAGACATGATTTGCTTCTTTACAGAACAGCAGGATGAATTAAATGAATAGAAGATGTCATCGCTCTTTGCCTAGTTGCTATGGATACCATGTGATAGAAATTATATTCTCATTTGTAATGTATTTTATTAGATTTTCCAGTGGTAATATGAATCCAGCCTTCATCAGAGGATAAAGTGATTTTGTTTATATATAAATCCATCAAACTGACTTGAAATATTTAAATATGTTTTAAATGTGTGTTTTGTAGTTTACCTGTCTCTTGCAAATAAGCAGTCTTCATTTACCTTACACGAATTAAATTTTCTTAATTGGGCTTAAAATAAAAGACTGATTTGTTTTTAGGTCCTTCAGCACCCTCTTGTCCATTTAACATGTTCAGAAAAACTTTATTATATATGGCTCTATGTTATAGTCTCAGTTTATTTGCATCTCAATTTCTTCACTTTGTTTTGCTTAGGGTTTGACATTTACTGCTGCAACTCATGTTGTATTTGCTGAATTGTACTGGGACCCTGGGCATATAAAACAAGCAGAAGACCGTGCTCACCGAATTGGACAGTGCAGTTCTGTGAATATTCACTACCTTATTGCAAATGGGACTCTGGATACCATTATGTGGGGAATGTTGAATCGCAAGGTAAAGCTTAAATTTAGACCAGGTTACCAATTCACTCATTAGTGTTCATAGCCTACATGAGTTAAGAGGCTGAGTTTTAGTGTTTTCAGGTAAAGGATACTTACATATACTAAGATATTGATGTTAATAGAGACCAAATTCAGAAAAGGCTTCAGTTGATAGTATCGTACCACTATCCTCTATAATAAGAGAGAGGCATGAATTTCCGTGTATACCTATTGTCTTCCAAGCCCTTCTTCTACCATTTTGGAAACTAGAGGAGAGAGTTAGCTAGCAAGGAATCATAATGCTTTCAAGTGACAAGTCTTTTTTGAAAGCAAAGAGTAAACCCTTTCTCAGAAGAAGTCTTGAATTCCAAGCTAATTTTGGACAGAGGACAGCCTGTACCCAGACTCTAGAAAAGGAAGGAGAGACATTGCCTGCTCTGTCCACTGAGCTGTTTCTTCTCCTAACCTTGAGGGATGTTTATAGAAAGGATTTGATTAAGGATTAGAGGATAATTTTCAAGTTTTCAAAATGGCCAGTCATATATAGGTTTAATTTCAAAGTTTATAAGTATTAAAATAAAAGTTTTATGAATAAAGCAAATAGTATAATATCTCTTTTCCTCATAAGAATAGGAATCATTGACTTGGTAATTTGTTTGTAATTTTGAATAATTATATTACTAAAGCTTCTGATATGTTGAAACAATATGATTTTCTTTAATGGGTTGCTTATGATTTAAATGTAAAATCAAGTTATTGCTTAGCAAATGCCAGCTGTGAGGTGAACTATTATGTAATTCATATGCTTTTCCATCTTACAGGCTCAGGTCACCGGGAGCACATTGAATGGTAGGAAGGAGCAACTTCAGGCTGAGGAAGGTGATAAGGAAAAATGGGATTTCCTGCAGTTTGCAGAGGCTTGGACTCCAAGTGGAAGTTCCGAAGAGCTCAGGAATGAAGTTTTGTTCACTCATGTAAGATTATATGACTTATTCCTTTCTATTTTTTAAAAATATCTTGAAATTGTAACTTTATTGTGTATTGTTTTAAATAGAAACCTTCAATTATTCATGCTATTGAAACGAGCCTCCACATTGATGCCAGAAGGCTACAAAAGTGGCTTGTATCTTCCAACAGTTATATATCAGGGCTCACTGTTAAGCTCTTTAGAAAATAAGCTAAATAGAATCCAGTCTTCAGAAGAAAACATAGGAGTCTGTC